GAATAAATAGTTGTAATTCATTGAATTACTCTGGTTCTTGGATCTGGACTGTTTCAGGCTAGGGGAAAATTCACAAACTTGATGCAAAACAGTTTGAAAAAAAAAGAGGAGAGAGAGATCTTCACTTAGCATTACAGATGCATAGTATGTTACAGACAACTAGATGCATTATGTTCAACTAATTTTAAATGCAGTTTATCTCAAAAACAAAAAATTACCTCTTCAGGCTAAAAAGGTAGAATAAGTTTGTAAACTTATGCCTGCCTAATCTAAGAAGAAATGGTTATATTTATAGCATCTCATAGCTTCAATTTTAACTTCAGAGACTAGAAATCTTATGAGGAAAAAAAATGAAAAAGAGATGAAAAAACTGCTGAAAATACTAAGTTGTTATCCACTAATTTTCACTAACATTTTGTATGTCTTTCTTATGTTTTGCCTTTTCTTGGACACTAAGGTTATGATTCAACCATCCTCAGGCAAGCTTTTGAGAGAGAGTATTTTAGCCTTTAAGCACATGCTTAAGTCCATCCCCTTTCAGCAGAATATCTGAGGCTCACAAATAAATTTCAATAATTTGGTGAAAACTTTGTTACATGCTGAGTGGATTCCTGAATACAGAAAGATTTCTGTTTGGCATGTGCCTAAGTCCATCGCTGAGAAGGCTCATCACACTGCTGAAGATGCACAATGTAATGAGGGAATGATGGGTGTCATGAAAGTAGAAAAGCTCTGGTCAGAGCTTAAATATTATTAAACACATAATCATTAGTAAGCACTAAGGGACATAGAAATAGACTTCGTAAATTCCACTGCTTCTAGAGTTACTACATGTGAAACAGCTGCTTTACTTTTATCGTTCAAAGACAAACTCTCAACGTAGAAAACTGAACAGTTGACGAGGAGAGGTCAGGAAACACAAATATCTTCTTTTTCTTCATGGAGGAATTTTTTCCTTTCTTAGTAGGTCTTGTCCAATGAAGAAAACATTTACAAGCAACCTCACTGTAGGAAATATTAATGCTTAGTGTTTGATCTGGCGGAGGATAGACTCAAACAAGGAACTCTGTTCTACAGCTATGCAGGGCTTTCACAAGTGTCTCCACATGTAAAGATGAGCCACTAGATAATTTGAGACCACATCGTGAATAAGAATAGGTGATTGTGTTACTAAATATCTCTTAACCTTATCCTATCCCGTTGTAAAAAACGGTAACTAAGATTGTTGGCCTTTGTTGCACCACAGCATTGTTTATCCTGATTGAAAATCCATTTCTCTGCTTTACTCAGCTACTCAAGTTAACGATATGTTCTTGATGAATTTCACCAGCTTAGGCAATGGATTCTACTTCAGAAAATCGGTTTCAGAAAAAAAGTTATTTTCCTTCTGAAGGAGACCATCAAATTATGGATGGAGAAAAATGAGTAAGTGCCTTTTTGAACTCGTCGTGGTTATTTAGACTCATCTGAGAAAGCATATACTCCGCTTCTAAATTGTAAGTGTTTTAATTTGTGTTATTCTAGCAGTCGGAGAATCTAGTCAGAGTCAGGCTCCATGAGACTGGATACCGTAAAGACACATACTGCAAACAGTAAACTGTGAGATAATAGCCTGGACGTCACATGAAAATCTGTGCCAACGTTTCAGGCTTTATTAGCCTTTTTGGAGTGTTCCTTCATGCAATAGTTAAGGCTGAGCCTCTGTCGTAATCATTCGTAGTTGAATTTCTAGCCACCTCTAACATCAGACCAGCACCTGGCTTTTCTTTCCTTGTTCATTACTACCTAGAGGCTTTACTGGTAGGACTCATGCAAAAACCTGCACTCCCTGTGCAGCTGAAATTCACGTTCTTTTTCATTGAAGTGAAAGTCTGGATGCCCAACTAAAACAGAAAGCAAAATTTAGCAATATTTTTGGTTTGGGTGCGTGTTTAATCTGCATGGATGGTTTCACATGAGATGCATTAAACACCATCTCATCACCAGACTACAAGGAGATGTATTTTCCCTGTGTTTACTGTCCGTGTTCTGCCTGATACAGTAAGATATCAGTGAGACAGAGTACTTATTTTTTTAGTCTCACAGTAGATAGAAGATAAAGGTACCTTTTGCATATCTGTCTTCCTGTCCCAGTCAATTTGCTTTTCCACATCCCATTCCCATTGTTTAAAAAACAATGATCCTTCATATTGTAATCAGTTTTTTACATATATGAGAAGCTGGTTGTACCTTTTGTCTTCCTGTCTCCTGTGATGTTTTTTACAAGTCTGAAGTCTGTTCTTAGTGTCTTTGGAGTTTGTTGTTGCAAAGAGCTTGAACTTTTAGGTAATGACAAAACAGTAAGACTTAGAATAGGTGTAGCAGTTTTGTGCTGTGCTGCATTTTTTAATAGAAGGCTATAAATAAACCTCCTTGCCCTATCCCAACTCTCTTTCACTTCAGAAGAAGTGTGATTATTCCTCCTGAATTAGAGACTCCATTCCTGAGGGACAGCAAGCATTACATGTAAGAAGGATATCTTTTTATGTTTGATAAAAAGCCTCATATTTTTCACGTGGCTACATCACAGATGGGAGAATTGTAAGACTGCTTTTTTAAGTAGACAGTTACTGTGAAGCTGATATTTGTCTATTCCATTTTCCATCTTATTTTCCTGAGGTTATAAACTGGGATGAATGAAACTGTTCATGCTTCTGTATAAGCATAATTTCACTGCATAGCTTCCTCTGTGGTATTTTTTTTTCTGTCCCTTATTGATATAGTTATCAGTTCTAGTACTGAGGCATAGAAATAATTGAAGGTAACCTTAGTAATGTAAATAGTCTCTCCTAGCAGTAGACCTAGGAAGGGCCTGAGAGCTATTGTTTCTCCCATGTTTCGTCCCCTGCTTCAGGCAGTAAATAATGTGTTACTGCTCTGTACCATTATATCCCAGCAGTATATCTCTTCTGTACCGACCAGGTCATTGGCCAAGTGTTACACATCCCCATGCCTGTCCGGCTGTTCCCCAGAACACGATATGAGTTCCCAAGGAAGTTGTCCTTTTGTTGCTTTGTAGTATTTCCACATGAGAGAAAAAGAAGGCACTTTGCAATCTTTCATACCTGCACTAATGCAGAGGGCAAGAAACAATATTGCCCTTCATCCACATCTCTTAAGCATCTAACAGGGCTTCAAAAATTAGTCTCCTTCTGTAGCAAGTTCTGCTGCAAAATATCCCTTTTTTGTGTTGTCCCTAAATTCTGTGACCTCCTTAATGATACAGGGCTCATTCAGAGTTACAGAGGGAATCTTGCAATGTTCCACTCTAATGAACAACAAACATTAAATGCTAAGCCAGAATGATTTAAATTTATGAAGCTCACTCCATGATCTTCCTGCAAGCCTTGCCTTTGGTTGTGACCCTCTGATTCCCATGACCTTGTGTCTCTAAAAAATGTTCCTTCTCAGCAGACCTCAATCCCTATTCTTTCCTGTCATTATTCCAACTGTAAAATTCTTTCCAATTTATTACCACATAATTAGTTTTGATGATCCATCCACTGGAATGCTTCATCATCTTTGGACAGCTGAAGATCCTCATGAGAAGCCCATGTCATTATTTTCCTTCCTCCAATCATGCCAGGAAAGGGAACATTTTAGCTCCCTTTCTCTGTTAATAGAACCTGGGGAGGAGGCTGGAGGTCAAGAGGGTGACGCTTGAAGCAATATCTGCAGTCCCCTTTTCCACATCTCCTCACATCTAGGCACTGAAAATTTTCAAGGATATGAATGTGTATCTCTATGAATTGTTTAAGTAGCATATCAACATAGAAACTCAAATGAAAAATCTGATGGGTTATCTCATCCCAGGACCAGATACAGAATTATTCCTCAAGATTTGTTCTGTAGTAATCCAATGCACCTCGTGTTGGACAACTCAAAGGTTTCTATCATTCTGCTTCTACTATGCCCAATCTACGCTTTTCTGAAAATAGGCCACATGGTTAGGAAGCATTTTCTGATATTTGATTTCATGGTTTCTTTTAGTTACTTTGATCCCCTAGTTATCTGTACTTCTCAAACTCACACATACAATTCCTCCCTCTGTTTGGAAACGGCAGGCAAATTTCCTTCCCATTATCATTTAGCGAAGTAAACATGCTCTGTTCTTTAGTAAGTCTCTGTATGTCACTCACTTTGGTCTTTTAAACTTTTTAATTGTTTCACTCTGCATTCTCTCCAGTGGTGCATTTTTGGTGAAATCTCTCATCTCACAAACAATCTGTGGAAAAGCAGTGTCATTATTATTCCTTTAGAAAAGGTCATTCGCCTCCTTTTAGCACAATAAAACCTGCTCATTTGTAGCATGGGATCTAATTGGCTGTTCTGGACACGGTGTTACTTTGTAAACTGCTGCCATATCTACTTTGTTATCCACTAAAACTATGATGTTCCTTTTGGTGTTTAATATCTATGTTTTGAAAGATTTTGCTCCGTGGTATGTTAGCTGGTGTTATTCCAGTTTGTCTCCAGATACGTTTCTTTTCATCTTTAATCTCGCTAAAGTCTTTTGTATTCTCCATTCTGATTAGTGTTTGCAATTTGTCTCTCAAGCTAATTACAATATCTGTGAGCATGCTTTTCCACCCCTTTTCCAAATCATCATGAAGATGCTAGAAAGGCCAGCTTAAATAAAATATTGTTTTGAGTCTTGGGACTAATGATTCTCATTACTCATCACAGTGGGAGCTGCATATGAGGTAAACTTACTCAATCACAATAGAAACAATTCTGTCCTCTCACTACAAAAATAGACTAAACAGTCACAATATACTGACTCATGGACAAAGGATTTATGATCACAAAGCTATTAGTAATTTAAATACAGAGATGTATACATTTAACTCTCTAGCCTTCAAATCAATTTCGAGTTTACTACAAGACATCTCTGGCTTCCCAGTGGTCCTCATCCTCCTAATTCTGGGCATAATAGTAGGAAGTCACATGGCTCTGGCAGGAAAATGTTACCTTTCAGGTTTTACTTCTAGTGATGCTTTCATTCTCTGGCTCAAGTTGGCTTTTGATTTGAGAAAAATACGAGTATGGAAAACTTCAAGCCTAAAAGAAATGGCATTTTATGTTGTGGATGTGTATATGGAGTCCTGGAGGTGTTACGGGATTTAATTGAGGTTTTCCATTTGCTGTGGAGCTGCACTGCGCAAGCACATCTTGACTAAAGGTTCTGTAGGTTTGAAAATAGGCTGATGCTGGACAGAGGAGGATAGAAAGGAAGGATGATTTTGTGGTGAAGGCATTTCGTAGTATTACAGTGCATGGGTGAGGAGATATTGATTGCTTACTTTTGCTTGTAGTTTAGGTATCCGTTTTGTCATGAGGAGAAAGATACCTCACATAGGTCTTCTGAGGATAAACCAATGACTGCGCTTAGGCGTGGTGGTGATCCAGCCAAGAGTCTGCTTTCATAGCACTAATCAGCCAGATATCCCTGAATCCACCACTTACTGTCTTTTGAGCTGTGAAAATTCAGAAACGTTGGAGGAGAAGCTACAGAAAGCACTGCATTGTGTGGAGAGATGGCTTTTCTTCTTCCCAGACCACTGTGCTACTTGTGTCCGTGGTTGTCTTCCCTGAAATATAGAAGTCAACTGTAAATAGTTGCTAGTGATAACAATGTTCTTGGTATACAAGTGTGTTTCCATCTTTTTAGGCGTAGTTATAACATTACTTTGGAACGTCCTGTGCTCTTGTCACTTACCAGATGCAAAATTGTATTTTCTTACCAAAAAAAACTTCTATAAGATTTTAGGAAAAAGGGAAAACCAGATGAGTGAAAGACAAATGCTAATGGGGCAAATGAGAAAAAATGGAATGATCAGGTGTTTAAAGAAAAGTGGTGTTGCATCTGGCTATGCAAAAAGCATGTATGAGTAGTGTTTCAGCTGCTTTCCCTGGGGTGCTTTTCTGGTATAAACATTCTGTGGGAAAACCATGGCATATGCTTTACTGAACAAGATGGAATCCTTAAACACTGCTGTTTTATAGAACTGTCTTCACTTGGGAGCTTAGGAAAAGTTATCAAACGCATTCATTCTTCAGCTGATTCTGAGTATTTCTTGGGAGCAGGACCAGACTATAAGACAGGAAGGCAGAGTCAGAAAGGCCCTGTATAGCTATTCCGTGTTTCTTTTGTATATATCTTGTATCATCAGTGAATTTTCATTCGCAGATAGTTTTTGAATTTTATTTTACAATCATATGCAGCTCTGACATTGTTGGAGTTAATTATGAAACACATTTCAGCGTATTTTTTCCCGTTTCTTCCAGTAATAAGCAGCTGGCGTTGAAAAGATTTCAGAAAACAATCTAAGGATTCATGTTTTTTATTCATTCTGGTTTTTGATTCATGCTTTGTTTCAGTATGCTAGCTGTTGGTACGCTATTGGAATATACCGCAGCTTTCGGAAGAG